GAATAGCTATATAATGGAGGATTCTAGTAACGTTTTAAAGTTCAAGACCTTCTTACCTACTACCGCGACGACACGTCATATGGGTACTGATCGACTACGCTGTGTTCGCCGTCAGCCTCCGCTAACGAGCAGCAGGGCCACGAAAGTGCAAATTGTCGATCTCCGAGTGTTCCACTCCTGGATGCGAGTCGATATTAGTTTAACTTTACAATTTTTATTGGTTTAGCCCGCCTTCGGAGCCCGAGGGGGACCAGCTGCTCGCCCCTATAAGAAGGAGGATAATCTAATAAGGTGAATGTTTTCGTTAGGTCATCAAACCTTTATCAACTAATAGACATGTGAGCTTGTATCGTGTTGATGGCGACCGGTGTCATCTAGGGTCACCGTAACACATTGTCGCACAAGGGCTCAGGGTCTCATCCGACACATATGTATAAGCAAAACATTATAATATATAATTGTTTGATTCTTTTAATATAAAAATACATAACTGATGATCAGCAGCCAATAGTACAATCTGTCATTTGACGTTCGATGGTGATATACAAGCTATCTATCAAATATATTCATTAATGGTTAACTGTCAAAAACGTTCTTCAAATCCATAGTAGATTACTACTACATATATCTATAGGGGTACGACTATGCCGATGAATATACATCGCCAGGTGGAGGAAACCAATAGGTCTCACCTCTGGATAGGCAAATATGAATTAGATAAGTAATCTAAGTGAGCAGACAAGTGAAACCTAGACGGGCTGTATTTTAGCGGACCAAAGTCGATTTTCATCATGTCATCATCATGTTGTTACAACAACAAAAATGAAGATGTAAACCCGTAGCAACAACAATATCAGCGCCCGAGAGGAGCTCTTCTTTTCTGGTCACTTGAAAACGACGCAATGTCCATTTTGATGCTTTTCGCTCAAAGCTAACGTCCCAGATTACCAGTCAGCATCGTTTTTAGTAAAGCGCTTCTTTGATTTGAGTTTCTGTAAAAAACGTATTAGGACGATATCTCCATCGAAGAGAATAACTTTTTTTATTCATACAGATTACACGGTATTTTTTACACAGAGATTTTAAAAAACAAAGCAGAAACACCAAGGTTAAGAAACAAAGTATATATAAAATTCGGCCATCTCAAATGTGATAATTATACGCCGAAGTTCAGATACAGGGCACTATGTACTCTGTAAAGTAGACTGTGATACTAACAATGATTCTCGAGCGTTACCAGACCAAAAATTGTTATTTAGATTTGGATACCCGTGCTCGCAATGCCTCTTTTGTCCAGCTGCTGTTATTCCAAAGTATAGTCAACTGTTTTCTGTTTGATCTTTAGCCAGATTCATAGATCAAGTTACAGTTACTTCAGACCGATTATAGTTACCATCCACTCTCGATGTTACTCGAACTTACGTCGCATTGGTCCCTTACATTGCTGGTCGCATTTATTTATCGCCTATATTATTATTTTTTTTTTTAATAAATACGTAGTCTCTACGAAATCTACGTTCGTATACGTATGTGCATTTTGGGCACAGATACTACTTGTCCGTTGTTCATAACAGTGTAATGTCTGCCGAATCGTCACTGCTTTTGCACTCATAGATTCAAGCAAATCAATTTAAATGATAGATGATTAAAACGTCCTGGATATGATATTAGCGCTCAAAAATACACACAGTGAAGTTTTTATTACTGTGTTTATCATGCGTAATGCGTAATGCGGAAGTAGGGTGAGCGAGACGCCATACTGACAAACACGATGTCTCCTCCTAGCTAAAACTCAGTGCACTTCTCTATTTCATTAAAGTCTTAATTTAAGCTGTCGCTGTACATTTACTTTGGTGAGTGTGAATATTATTCGGTTTTTTTATTTCCAACGTGGTCGAAATCGTTTCCTATCAAGTATAACTCGTATCGTTCCCAAGTATAACTACAGTATCGAAAGACAGCGGCCTTTTGAAGGCGAAAAACGTCCTGAATATGGTATATGACGTACGTTAAGCGTTCGTCTCACTAACTGACAGCGTTCCTATTGACTGTATCGGTAGTAACCACACATTTTTTGAAACCTATAAATGCCACTTCTATTCGAATACACTATTGTCTCTATACATTGATCAAGTGAACGAAAACACTAACAACGTGAGTACACAAGAAAAAGTTGGGCAAGTTGTAAAAAACCCTACACATGTAGTCCCCACATTGGAGAAAATATAACCAAAGGGAGTATGTATGAAGACTCTCGTGCGAAAAAACAATAACATTATAATTTAACTAAAATGCATTAATGACTCGTTTTTTATATGAGCGAACACACAGCCATATTGGTATGAGATATGGGGAGGGCCTCGCAATGCAAAGAAAAAAAAATGTATTAAATTATTAAATTTTGACTGTTTACTGGTGCGATGTTCTTATGAATATTAAAACGGCAACGCGCGGCCCTTATCAGATGATCTAATATAAGAAAAAAATCACAGTATTCATGAGTATGTTGTTCAGCCACAAAAACAGGTGTGTGTGTATATATATATGTCGGGGTCTTGCCCTTGGGCTTATATGCTAATTGGACCCACGATTCTACACGACAACTATATATTTACCACTTGTAGGCCATATATTATTCGACTTCTGTTGATTGCTCCTTTTACTATTACTGCTATGCCGCCGTTGTTTTTGTTTTTGATGAACCTGGGATGGCTGTATTGTTGTTGCTGAAGGCAGACTCCATTCTACAAAGATGGAGGCAGCAGAGACGGCGCTTTGTGCGTGTTACAGAGATCAAAGAGGCCTTCTCGTATTTCGTTTACACAGCTTGCTCCGTGTACGATCAGGACCACGAAAATTTGCATCATACGTTGCAGGCAGACAACGGCACAGGGCCTTCAGGGGGGCTGGTTAACGCTAGTTAACCTGACGGATTACGTAGAGAAGAAGGAAATTTGTTTTAAATGTTTCGGCTTTTGCCGGAACGTCCGCTGTCTGACTGGACCGTGCTCGAATACCCTTGACGGAGCATTCTGGACGCCTGTTATATTACGAAAACACGTAAAACACATGGTACGACGCATATATAAATGGAACCCCCTTTTTCATATACCTGTTGAAATATATTTTATAGTATAACTAATGTTATATGCTGCCCGCTGAGCCAAACCGCATGAACCCAACATTATCATGTCCCTGTGACATATTCGATGCTAGAACAATTGATGAGTTTTCCTTGAAAACCAGCCTTACATCTGGCTCAAAGTAGGTACACTGTTCGGTTTCACTGGTTCATGGTGCCCGAGACCGTAGATCAGCTCTCATCGTTCGCCCTAACGTCATAAGCGTCGTGATATGATCATATTATCTATGGAAGTATCCAACAGACGAGTAACCTAAAGCGATGACTACTCAATCTATCCCGGGAACGATGTTCGAATGGTGTCGTCCTTCATCAGTAATGAACAATAAATGTTTGTGGTACGCTGATGAGACGGTACCGACGGTACTATTTCCTAGATTGCACCAATGGTGAATAACTTCGTAAATGTCAAGGTGCCCTTGAAACGGTAGTGCAGAGGTAAGACACTGTGAGAGACAGCCATTGTGATTATGTTTAACTAAACCCGAATCTTGCCCAAGCGAGAGAAGCAGTCATCTATATATGTCGAACGATATTTGACGTTGGAATAACATTGGCTCTATTGACAAGTATGTTATTTCATCTAAAACAGACTTCGATAATACACTGTGTTTTATGTAGTGGCGACGACCCTTTCACAAGATTAGCCTGACAAAATTAAACCGTCGTTAGTTATCTTATTCCTCGAACTGCTAAAGATTCTAGAGGTTCGGTAACATAGCATTGGAACTGGTAGCACTTCATAACCACAGATAAGGACGAGCCGATTTGACAGAAGGGTCTTGGGCATCTGTGTGTATTCTATCATGCATAATAACAGATCACTTTTAACAGTACCCGTTGTCAAATTCGACAAACAAAGAACAAACAATTTGGTCAAGTAAGTATACGTATTAAAATGCTGAAGTCGTTGGCCGCCCTTCGACAGGGCAAATAAAGGGTAGACCGATTAAGTATGAAGAATACGAATTTTATTTCGAGGAAACACACATCGCAGATCTGAGCAAATACCTTACTCACTGTAGAAGCGAAACGAATTTCTGCGAAATGGTTCACTGAAACTTCGTAAAGCTATAATCTATTTTAAATTATACTTATGAAATGTAATAAAGTTAAATGCGTGCCTATACGCTTATCGGTTCAACCTAGTCTGACTTAAATCTCTGGATCAGATATGTAAAAACATACATTTTCGATTAATGCATGTAAAAACTGAATAAACTAAGCTACGCGTTAAGCTCCTAGGCCGAGTTCTCGTCGTAGTTGTCTCCAGACACCATGTAGGTGAACTACAAGATTCCACGGCAGCTGTTGGTTTCCTTTTGCAGACCTAAACAAATCTCCTATCCTATATATATATGCACCCAGTATTGCGTAGTCTCTCCCACAGTAGGAGTATATTCTATCAATAATTACCTCACACACAGAACATTACTTTCGAGGAGACATATCAACACACAAAAAGCCATCGGATAAATAAGTACTACTACAAAAATAACAATCTTAAGCGATAAAAACACGGCAGGGATATTTCTCGTTCGTCCTTGCCATTGTGTACAGTTTAACCGTATTTTTCGTCATGCTTAAAATCTATAGTAAAAACACACTAACACATTAAAGAAGATAAACTACCGGCTGTTGAATAGAAATAGTACTGCTTGAAAACTTCGTCGTAATCGAAATCGTCAACTTTCTCCAGTGCCGTCGCCCTGTCGTTTCACAGGTTCCACTAAGTCACGGCGACGTATCAGTAACAGAACGCTTTCGTGGGTCTATCTGGTAGATCGCAAGGGGTCCCCCATTTTTCCCTTAGTATTAAAGATAATAACGCGCGATTCATTTAATGTTACAACTTTACCTTCGTAAGCGTGTGTTGTTTGTTGAACACTCCTAGACATATGTTAAAATGAAACAATTGTTCTGTGTAGATCGGGTAGAGCTTGTTTTTCGTTTGTTGCAGAGTGGCGCCTAACAAAGAGAAGAACAAACAAACATTAGTTGCATATGGCGTTTCGTACGTTGACAGATTACGGACGGTAAAATTTAACTATAAGCTTAATTGCAAACAAAAAAAAAAAAAAAAAATTGCGTAATACACATTTGTAGGAAATCACTTGCATGGGATCAAAATGATTAATGAACAACAATTAGGTATACCACCTTACTATACCTGAGTACAGCTGCGTTAGATCTTCGCTTGGGTCTAACGCGTGTGCAATTAAAAGAAAAACCATTTCTATTAATTTTATCTTCCTTTTTGCAGGTTGACCCATCCCAATGGATCCATTAGACTCTTGATCGTACACTGTAGCACAAAAGCATTGTTTGGCTGGTTCCAATTTTTCCATACACTATACACCATCAACGTCTTGAGCGCGTACGTTTCGCTTCTATTAGACTACCTTCAACAGACAGCATGACGTGTAGAAACGACTAATGACTATGCACATACAGCATCCACTTAATAGCATCCATAGATGCAACATAGCAATTCGTGATAATGCAGGTAACGAAGGTTTCCTCTAACGGGGGAGGATGGTACGCTTCGTGAGAAGATACGATTCGCGTCTAGATCTCAGCACCATGATTCAAGTATATCCCGCCCGCAGCGACTTATAAGGAAACCCACATTGATAAAACATCCAGAACTGCTAGCATCTCTGCGAGTTATCGCGTAAACCATCCGCCATGCTTCATCCTTCCTCTACTTTTAATGTTGTTCGATTGCCTGTATCCATCTGTAAACTACAAAGGAAAGTACGGAAAAGAAAGCACGACCAAATCTAGCTGACAAAACGCGTAGAGGTCGCGTCCACACAGATCATAAGGCGAAGGACACGCTGAACATATTACCCTCCCTGGGCTTTCCCCAGTCCGGTTTCACCGTCATGCGTAATCTTGCCGCCATTTGGCGAAGTCACCATCAATTCCTAGATATCAGTTAGGATAAAACAATGGCTGATTTGACTGCCGCTGTTAACAACAGCTCCAACTACCTGCAATAATAATAATATATCAGGCCGCCAGTGCATCTATTCTCTTTACCAACATCGATACATTTCTATGCACACAGAGCGATGCTACATTTATTTGGGAGCGAGGAATAATTGATGCCGTAGTGTTTTCATTGGGTTTAGGGCGGATTACATTTCTCCCATTTTAGAAATTTGAATGGACAACTTAATCACGCTAAAATGATGCTTCTGTGAGTTTCGAACGAGGAATGGAGTAGGAGTCTACTGATAGAAACTACCAATTGGATAAGAAAAGGAGAGCTCTCGGGGAATAGCTATGAAGTCCGTACTCAGCTGTTTGCCGAGCTCAAAATATGTCCCTTGACAACAGGGCTCGTTCAAGAAAAAGGAAATGAGTTTGGCATAGGGAAATCTATGTAATTCCAGATTGGTTGAATGAGTTCCGCCTTTAAAAGGACGACACCCCAAAGCCCACTTAACTTACCATTCGTAGCCAATAAGTTGCTTCTGGTAGTTGTTGGTTTCAGGCAAAATATTCATGTATAATTCCATACAAGTTGCGAGTATACATCATTTACTTATCAGGCCTTATTAGCCTACGGCAGCTGAGTAAGGTTCGTAAAACGGAACTGCTTAGCTTAAAGCAGGCTTTCGATTTAAAACCCAAAGTGTTGCTTAGTTTCACATACAGACACCTTTAATGCGATGATTCGAAAGTGTCATTTCTAGAGCTATTCCGGTATAAATTACAATAAACTGAAAATTGATACAAACTTTTGAATTACTTCACTTTGTCACCTTTAAATTCTTTGCCATATATGCTAGCATGTAAAGCAGATAAACTTAGGCATAATAGGTGATCGATAAGTGGGTAACGTATTTGTCTACTGTTGTCAGAGATACCTTGTGGTCTATCGGACATGAATAGACACGGCTATCCCCAAATCATTCATCGATTCCATAACACTTGAACTTGTGCCTTATTTTTGCAAATTCTTCGAAATGCAAGACTTTCGGCCGTGGTTTGACTTGTTTTGATGAAAATGAAGATGAAACTCTAAAGCGTAAGTATAACGTTCGTAAGCGCTCTTAAGTGGTCCTGGTGCGTTGGAAAACTTTTAGTAAGCCGGCTATCAAAACCAAATGTACGAGCGTTTCCACTGCTTGCGCTGTGGATAAGAGCTAGCTTCCGCAACCTGTTTCCGAAAGCCTAGAGAAACGTATCACAATTAATTTTAAGTTAGCACATCGTCAGCTATCATAACGAAGCCATGTTGGTTCCATTTCGAAAAAAACTATTAGGAGACAAGAATAAAGCAGGAGACGAAAAACGTATACTTTGAGCAAAGGCGGATCTGTAAACAACACAAATCTCAGAAGAGCGTTGGCAGATTTCAAAACAATCCAAGCAAGCCAAGGGCTCGCAAATGAATGACTATGATATGGCGATAAAATTTGTTCTACATATTTTTTTACAACTACCACCTATTACTAACTGTACTCACTACGAGCTTACATCGAATACTTCTATTGCCACTAGCGAAAATCGTCGCGAAATTCTAACGTGTCAGCACAATGTAACCATTTATATCATCTTTTTTCTTTGTGAAAAAATTTGATGCCTACACAGCCTCAATTCCATGGCTCATTTTATCTAGCATACTGTCTCGCTTTTTTCTTTTCAACTTTAAGAATCTAAGCTTTAACAGAAAGGAGCACTGAAGCCATCATGGCAGGTCTAAGAAAGATAAAACTAAGCTAAGCCTCATATAATTCTACGGTTGAGCTTTGAAACGGCTTCAATAACTGAAAAACAATAACATACGTACAATTTTCGATAGTTACCTTAATCGAATCATAGTATAATACGCATTTTAACGCTACCAGCGCGCCATAGTGTCGTTCCTGCTGGCCTTGCTGCAGGCCCACGCAGTGGTCGTCTCGGTAGGAGCCCGTTTAGGCTATGATCGTTTTTAGAGTAGCCTGTAGACTTAGGTGCTGGGACCGGCCTATCGGTACGCTAAGCTCACATAATGCGGCATCTATAAGAACGACAACCATGACGGCTGATTCTGATGTGACGTACAACCCCAGTCGCTGGAACTCGAGCGGATCGTCTTAAGTACAGGGTTTCGTTTAAGAAATGTGTAGGTAGAGTTTATATGGTAGCGTATTTGGTTTGAGCCAGCTGTGTACTCAAGCTTCAGCTGACTTTGCGTTACCACGTTCTGCGCGAATTCGGAGCGGGTACGCAGCCAGGCCAAAAACGGTATAAATACAGCTAGAGGAAAAACACCGCGGCCCACATAGGCAAACCTGCTTATTTGTAACCTCTTTGTACATAGCGTGCTTTGTTAAAAATGTACACATCGATTCCCGTATATTAAAAAATAACAACAATGAGGAGGATTGAATAAAAACAAAGCTGCTCGTGCCGGTCATCAGACAGGGATGAATCTCGGATCTGTTTTTGGAGCCTATTGGGACCGGCCATACATTTAAAGTAACATAAAAACGAGTACGCATAGAAAAAAAAAATAAAGCGTCGCAGCAAGCCCGAAGCAACATGTGGCCAAATTGAAACCAGTCACAGACTTGTAGCTTACTAGGCACCTTTGCTGTGTGTAGATACACGTGAACTGGTTAGAAGGAGAGACAGACACGCGTAATTGACTGCTACGAAAGGCGACGATCCGTTAAGTGCCAGGAACTTCCGACAGAATAAATTTTACCTGTTCACGCTCAATGACGTTCCGCAGACCAGTTTACTAACGTCTACGTGACCTCCACCTGCTACCCGTATCTTAAGTTTGACAGGACAATGGGCTTATTTTAGAATTCCATTTCCGGATAGACATCTTGTTTGCATTATAACTCTCGACACATCGCAGCTCAGTGTGACATTTATTAGCATCTCTGCTGCTCCAGCGGATCATTACCCTTGTCGAAACTGGGTAGCTATTCAGAAATGTCAAGTAAAGTCTAAAAGAGATTTCTGTTCATTATTTTTTTTTATTCCCAAGACAGTTTCGTTGAGATTAGTGGGTCTGATTCAACTACCCCTTTGCTCCCGAAACGCTGAACCCAGCTACAAGCTATAGTCGCGCGGTAGATTTTGAAAATGATCCGTTTTCAAATTCTTATCTATGTTTCGTAGTGCGGCTTCAGTGGCCTATAACGGAGTGCTAATCATTGCGCCGACCCAATACAATATAGATAGGAACAATAATTAGATGGCAAATATCAACCAGTTGGCCGAACAGATGGATCCCGATATCATTATATCGTGCCGTCAGTACGTTAAGTATACGTGTAAATACGTACTGGTTTTGTCCTATTCGCAGAAAAATCACGGTTCTCACTTTGGGATACTAGTCGCTATTAAACTCTCAGTGAATTAAAATTCAGGATCTATTTCTGTCGCACCATCGGCTCGTAGCGGCAAAAATTCGCAGTTCCAACTATTCGTAACTGAGGCAGTGCCCCTTTACTCAGTTATTCTAGTTTTTCTGTGAACCGACTGCTCTTGTCGCCGGCGCCCTATGCGCGAACAGTTCTCTTTCGTGCGATATGCTGATATGTATTAGCGGGCGTGAATGGTTTACACTATACAAACGTTTATCCGCAACTGAACGGTTATAGGTTAGGTCTCTCCGTATCGTGTTCACCGATGTTTTTCGTTGGGGATGGGACCAAGCAGCAGTGGAGCCAGAAGCGGAAGCAGGTATTCGCCATATTTCCTGCCGCCGTAAGCTGCTTGTGCCTATCTAATCAAAGTAATTTATTGTGGTTATTGTTGTAGTCTCGACTGTTCCACTTGTAATTGTCCCGGTTGTTGGTTTTAGACGCTTTCTCCCGTTCGCCGTAAGATTAAAATTTATGCGCATTTGTCGTTGTTCATTGTCGCTGACATTATCGACACCGCCGCCGCCGTATTTATAATCAGCAACTGCAGCAGCAGCAGCAGCAGCAGCAGCCGCATCGTTACAATAGACAACAATATATTTAGGCTGTCTACCAGATGCCACACATACAGATCTTTCGGTTGTTCACAGAGGCGGTGACCTATCAAGATCTACTAGATGGCTAATAAGCCAGAAAATCGTAGGCAGCTTGCTCGCTACCGCTGCTTAGTTGTTGGTCTCTGATCAAAACGGATCGCTGTAGCCACTGCGTGGCCCGCTGTCTCTGCCTTTGATTCAACAGGACCCGCCAGGCCATGCTGATGCTGTTGCTGCCGCCGACTTTGATTCTGTGGCGACTGCCATAGGAGCGGGGGTTACCCTGTCAAACAAGCTGACTTGCTGCCAACATAACTACGGGAACGCATATCGCTGCGTTCGTTTTTTGCGCGCTAGTAGTTCACATTTGTGTGGCAGACAGAAATGCGGATGGAGGAACGGCTCTAGCTGTTGTCGGTTGTTCCTACGGGGCGTCATGGTGTGTCTATCTAAGCGTGCGAGATCGACTCTGCCCGGTGAACCGCCCTCGCCCCCGCTGCTGCCCTCACTGTTGTGTCCTAACCCTATTGACGGTTTGTACGCGCTATCAGACATTGCTGTCGACGCGGCTAGCAGGGCTAATATTGTTACCGCAGCTGCTTCAAGGGGCAACAGGCCAGGGTATCTGGCTGACATCCATCTATTCGTTTCTCTGCGAGTTTAAGCGCTGTTAACGGGCGGGAGGCACAAGCAAGTCGCGCTAAGCGCTACAGGTGGAGGAGGGTGAACAGGCGATGCTTCTAAAGCCGATATATCGCTACCGTCTCGTATCGCCGCTATTGACGCTGCCGCTTCTGTTGCTGCTGCCACAGACGCCAGTGACGACGATGATAAAGATAGCGGCGGTGATCTAGATGATAATGATGATTGTGCTTGTGACCTTGAAAATAGTCGT